AATAACTGACACTTTAAATCAATGTTTCAAGAAACAACAACAAAAAAATTGAACAAAAAACAGATAAAGACAAAAAAGTAGCCATTGATAATATCTAAACAATGTAGTAGCATAGTATATAGTATCCAAATCAAAATGTAATACAATTAATTTATGTGTGATTTATGTGTAAATTACGTGCAATGTATTAGCCACTAGGGATTGTTACATAGGGCTATACAGGCATATAGTGGAAACAAAATGATATTAAAGATACTAAATTGTGATAACACAATGATATTACAGATACTAAATTGTGCTAAATGTTTAGGTAAATGAAATAGGGATTTCGCCTAGGGCGTCAAATTGGCTAGAAACGGCCCTGGGTGAGGGTATGAATGTGATCAGACTTAAGTTGCTTAAAGGGACTTGCATGACACTAGCCAGAAAAAAACATTGGTTGGTTGGTGTGTGTGTTTGAGACTGTGCCTTTAGTAGAGAGGGCTCGCCTTTCAGTGGTCCATTCAGTACAGTGTAGACAGGTAGCCACAGATAAAACTATTAAATTTCTTTATAAAACAATTAAACCCCTTGTACTTTTATACATTATATGCTACAATATATTTATTGATTACAAGTATGAAAGTGGAAATAATTGCTACATAATCAATACAGTTGTACATGTTTATTTTACAGATTTAACACGTCTTTTTTCTTCTTCTCTTTTAATCTCGATGTCATGTGGTTCGCTTTCTTTTGTGCGGAAAGTTCCAGCATCGGTCTGAGGAGTGCCACTGCGTGTTAATTTTTCCCAACAGGTCACTGCGAGAGTGTGTGCGTTTCTGTATATGCATGTGCGCATGAGGGTTGGACAGTGTGAAGACGTGAAGTTTGCTCCAAAACTGATTTTTCTTCAAGGGACAGGGTAACTGGACTGCTTAATATGACTGTAGTATGATAAGACTGACAAAGAGCTTGCATATATGTTATTATATCTTATTAAACGCCATTGCAACCCCAATTGATTGACACATGAGACTGTGCTGCCAAAAAGACTGAAAAATACAGTTAGACGTTAGCTCCGCATATGCTCAGATACAGGTTAAATGTAAACAGATGCTTAAATATGGTGGTCTGACAGTTTGTAGGTGAACACAATGACACCTCGTGTTAACACAGCCCATGCATTGGTCCTCACTCAATTTCCTATCGTGCTCATCCTGTGATCTTACTATTTTCATCAAGTGAATTTTACACAATTGATTTGCCCTTATGATAATGCAATGCAGATCTGTGTTTTTTCTCCATCATGTTTTTGTATTGTACTGGGCTAACAATCAGTCTCCTGCTTTAACAAATATTGCTACAAAAGTCAACTTCTGCTGAACAGCTTTTCTTCTACTCCCCAAATAGGCAGACACACGTGTCATGACACTCAGCAAATTGGCACTCAATCAATAGGCAGTAATTAGACTTCAAATAAATCTCCTCTACAAACTACGACAGTACCTCACAGCCCTTCATCATCGTTTCCTGTGTCTGAATGTGTAAGATTTTTTTTGTGTATACATGTCGAATTTTGTGTTTTATTGACTCGTTCCCCTGTACTCCTCACCATTTTGTCTGGATTTCCTCTCATCTCTGTTTTGCTTCCAATCTCACACGTCTCCAATGCAAAGATACATCTTACAAAGTTCACCATGACACCACGCGCGCACACACACACACACACACACACACACACACACACACACACACACACACACACACACATTCTCACACTC